ATCCCAGAATGACCAAAGGGAGACCTCTGAGAATGTAAAATTAGGTCAATTGTAGAAAGTCTCATGGAGCCCTCCCTTTAAGTGTAATAGAAAACACTGCAGAATTCAGAAGTACAAGTACAATGTAGCTTGTAAACAAAACCCGTATGCTGATCAGTGAAGGGACATATGCTTCGCAGCATCTTCTGGCCCGACAGCTCCTTTACTCAGGATCCCCGGGCCTGCCTCTGCCTCTTTGCTATCACTGAATAGAATGTCCATAGTTATTTATCTTAGCTTCTGAAAACAGATTGTACTGCCAGGCGAATGAAAGAGACCTGAGGTTTGTGTAATGATTTTACATTAGCAAATAGTTTTGAATTCCTACTAAAAGAGTGTTACATTAAAAACCCTCATATATCAGTAATTAGCCAAAAAGAATTTTATATAATGTACAATTTCTTTTTAAGAACCCCAAAGAGAGTTAATAACAGAACCCATTCAATGAGCTGCTTGGCAGGCCTGATGCACAAAGAGATATGCATAGGTGTGTGCTACTGCTGTTGTTATTACTATTATTGGCCGGGTTAGGGATTTTAATTCTCCATGTACACCAGCTTCTGACATAATACAGTCACTCGACCTCCCTTTGATGAAGACTAAGATATATTTCTCTGAGGCAAAGAGAACACGTTTTTCTAGGTACATTGGGCAATTAGCATACAGTTGCAGATGTTAAAATAATAGAGGTGATCTGATAGGTAGGGCTTGTCTTATCTAATTAATTTTATTCTTTTCATAATTAAAAAATATTTTTATCTTAAAATTCTAAATGAATAGATAATATAGAACCCATCTTAATTGGTATTTACCTAATTGGCCATATATTAAGCAAATATTAATTAGGCTAAGTAATGCTCTAGCCAGTTTGGTTCAGTGGATAGAGCATCAGCCTGAGGACTCAAGGGTCCCAGGTTCAATTCCTGGTCAGGGCACATGCCCGGGTTGCAAGCTGGATCCCCAGTAAGGAGTATGCAGGAGGCAGCCAATCAATGATGTTTTCCATCTCTCTCTCCCTTTCCCTTACTCTCTGAAATCAATAAAAAATGTATTTTGAAAAATTAGGCTAAAAAATGAGTTATCAGTGAGGGGTGTCAGGCTGGAGAGTTAGATGCACAGTGTGGTTCTGTTGTAGAGTGACTTTTTTTAGAGAAACCCCAGACCTCCTATCGTAGTGGGTAGCATACTGGCAATTGGGGTGGATGCACTGTGAGGCTCTTGAAGTGAATCAGAACCAGCAAACACGTTGGCGTCGGTCCAGAAGTGATTGTCTTCTTCCATTCAGTGGGAGAGGACAAAGCCAAAAATGAGAATGTAGAAGTCTCTTTTCCTACAAAATGACCTAAGTTTAATAAAGCCCCCAAAGGAGCCATAAATTTAAGATTTATTCTTTAAGCAAAAAATTTAATAACATTTGCTAATCAAAAAAACAAGAAAATATATTGTAATTTTTCTTCATTTTTTCTATTTAATAGTGTGTGGGTTTATGTATACTAGAAGCTAAAAAGCTAATGTAACATATTACCGTAGGGAAGGGATAATATAATCATCCCAGTCCACATCTCTTACCTTGACTCATAGCTCGAATATTTCTATTCTTGGGAAATTACTGCAGCTTTGGAACGAAGAATATCACTGGCGGATGAAGAATGATTCTGCAGCCTTTCATCCCTCACAGTCTTCACACCCTCTCGATTAGTCTAACTTTGCAATCGCGCCATCTAGTGTTGAAACGTCCTCAGTGCTATAGCTCAACTTCATTAGAAGCAAAATAATACAGGAAGTAAAAAGGCTACAGGTACCAAGCAGCCAGCAACTGAGAAGTCCTCAGAAAAGAAACTCACCGCAAAAGATAAAAAGCCAATTTATTCCATAAAGTTCAAATCACTTTGGACAGCTAATTTTGAATAAAAACCTGATCAAAGGCAGTGAGAAACATGAAGAAATAAAAAACAAAAAACAACAAGTTACCTTAAAAACAGTGTGCTTGGGGAGAGTAATGAATAGTTCATCATTGAAATACTAAAACAGATTTTTTTGTTAAATATACATATTTCTTATTGTCTCATTTATTTGTATTTATTTCATAAATATTTTATATATTCTATGTGGTCATACAAATTATACATGATATATTCCATATATTGAAATTATACTTATTTGATATTATATTTTTATGTTTCTCTCTGTAGCTACCTATATAACCTAACAAAATTGTCATTGAATTTGAAGGCAATACAACCTAACCTGGTCATAAATTTATTTGGGTTAGAGTGTGGTTTGGATTTGAGTGGAATCAAAAGATGGAAATAGTTTAATACTTGGTTGAACTGCCCGTCCTTCCAGTTTGTGGTTTTGTTACTACTGAGGACTGCACCCCCAGGGGTCAGGTGATTTACAACATAGCACTAGAAACACAGAAGGGCTTTGATATGCAGGAAGTAGAGTGGTTTGTCAGGAAAAATAAATAGTGTCTTTCATGTCTTACCATTGAGACTACTTTAAGCCTAGCTTTAAAAAGAAATTGGAAGAAAGTATTTTTAGGAATTAATGAGTTTGGTCACAATTTTCAAGACATCCGGAAGACATGATTTTTATTTTCTTTACAAGCCTTTGAGATGACTTCTATATTGTCTATCAGTTGAGAATGTTAAGAGAAGAAATAGTTACTTAATTATGGAAAGAATAAAATTAGTTAATACAGGCCTTATCAGGTCATGTTTATTATTTTAATATCTGCAAAACGATTGGCAGAGTGCCTCCTTTAACTTACTTCAGTGTGAAAACGGAAAACCTCAGCCTTTGCCCTACTTCTGAGGAAGGTGAAGTCCATGGTCCAGTCCCACTCTGAGATCTGGTCTCCTTGGCCTTTGTCAGCTCCTCAAGGACAGGACGCTTCCTCTCACCTAGGTCTCTGGTTATCTGCTTTGCATTAATCAGGAAGGTCTCCTTCTGTTCTTCAGCTTTCACGTAGTTAATTCTTACACACACACTTCAGATCTTGGCCCCAACATCATTCCTCAGAGAAACAGCCTCTAGATTAGTCCTCCCTTGATAGCATCTGATACTTTTCCTTATTACCACCTTGTGATTATGAACTTGTATTATTATCTACTTAATATCTGCTCCTTCCCGCCCCCCCCCCCCGGGTTATAAATTATAAGCAGGCTAGAATAATACATTCCTTTAACTCATCGGGGTCCTAGGCACTGTGTTTCTGTGGCGTCTAATACAGATTAGCTGTGGGAAATGCCTGGTGAAATCAAACTGAGTCCCACACTGAGAGGTGAAATGCCCATTGCCTCAGCCCGCTTAGTTTGGTGAAGTCAACGCTGCTTTCATGTGCTCTTGGGCCAACAGAATATTCACGGAGGTAGGGAATTTCGGTGCTTCTATTCCAGTTTGTCCAGGTATATCCCTCTGGCGACTTGTCACTTCCTTCAGCGAGGTCTGGGAGTGGGTATATGTTCTCATTACTGACAAAATCCCTGACCCCTTTCACTACCACTCTTCCCACTTCCTGGGGATGAATTGACCTTTTTACTCCCTGCTCACCCATCTCCCTTTCCCATTTTCCTGTCCCTCTGCCTGCCGGAAGCCGGTCCATCCTTGCTGCTTGACACAGTCGCTGCAGGATAGAAACATCTGCACAGCATATGTTTCAAGGGACCTGGTGTATATAGCATACTGTTCTTAATATGTTTGCTCCCCTTAGCGCTGTGTGTTTTAACCAAGATCACCTCTCCGAGAAAGCTTGTTTCCCCAGGTAGGGATTTTTCCCTGAAGTTAGGGAGGGGATGAAACTCCTTAACTAAGTGCCAGGCGGGTAGTTAATCACTTTAATTACAAACAATCATGCTTAAGCTACATAATCTTTACTCCCTGGAATGGAGATAAGAAACGCCCTAACCTTTGTAATAGAAATTGACAGGATTAAAATCAACTGGTATAAATACGGATGTAACAAGACAATAAACAGCAGAACCTCTCTGGAGATCCAGACCAGAACTTGGCTGGAGATCCTGGCTGGAGATCCTGGCTAGGCTGCTGATCAATTGAACACTGTCTCCGTGTCCTTCCTTCTTCGCCGACTCCGTCTACGCCTTTGGGAACCCCTGGACCTGCTGGGGTTGGACCCCGGCATCTGCCCACAGATTAAAAAAAAAAAAAAACACAACAGAAAAAGACAACCCCTCCTCTTTCTGTCTTTGCTGTCAGCCATCTTCATGGATTTACTGGGAATAGGGAAATACAGAAAACAAAATATAAAATAACATTTCAGTAAATTATCCTGCCACTCTAATATTCAGCAGAGAATAAAAATTTGCGTTTCATGTTAAGTTTTCAGTGTTTATTTTTGTAGCACTTTCCTTTCCTTTCTAAAAGACTCTAAGGGTTCCCAACTATCTTAGAATATTAGACAAGCAATCATGCTGTCTAATGGGCTCTGCTTAAAAGCTGAAGCATGTCATGGCAAGCCTCAGGTATCTATAACCAATCACCAATGTCTTCTCAGGAATGAGAGATATTTTGAGAAATAAAGTTAAGATTCAGAAATAATTAATTTTGACATTAAATACACACGTACACACATATGTAGATTTGGTATTTTTTGGTAAATTGTGTTCCATTTTATTTAAAGTCTGGTATATACTCATTGTTTTCAAAAGTTAACACTTTTGCTTAACATCAAATACACACAAAAGCAAAATGCTGAACTTTCAAACCACACTGAGAATTGCAAGTGTCCTTCTATGTATGTTTCTTTCCTTCCCACCTGTGGTAGTATCTAGTAGGCATCGTCACATACGTATGTATTTCTTGAAAGCTGGATTGACTGATTTCATTGCAAATTCATATATAATTCTGACACACACACATATATATTTGATTAAAAAATAAATAAACAAAATGCTATAAGGTTCAGTCCAAAGATGATCTTCACACTTCTCTCTCCACAGCAACACGGATGTGCACACGGTGGCGTCACTTCTCAAACTGTATCTCCGAGAACTTCCAGAGCCAGTGATTCCTTATGCGAAGTATGAAGATTTTTTGTCATGTGCCAAACTGCTCAGCAAGGAAGAGGAAGCCGTAAGTCTCGGCATTTATTTCTACGAAAGCTTTTGTTTGAGGATTTTGTCAGTGTTCTCTGTCTTTCATTTGTAATCTTTCCTTTGCCCTATTCTTGGATTGTGTTCCACTCTTCTGTGTATTGACATCACATCACACACATTTAGACTTAACACATACAAAACTCAGGTCCCATTTTTAATCCATTCTCTCATAAAAAAAAGAAAAATATGACCGAATAAATGAAATGAGCACTCCTTGCCGCTATTCTCCCCTAAAAGGTTAATTGTGGTGCCAAAAAGTCTATGAACAAAGTGGATGACTTACTTCAAGTTTCCTTTTTCATGCTGTGCCTCTTAAATCACCTCAAACAATGACTCCTAAGAAATCCTCCCTACTGCCTGTTTTTGTAAAAACAGCTTTATTGAGATACAATTCAGATACTATACAATCACCCATTTGAAGTGTACAATTCAGTGCTTTTTACTATATTCTCAGAGTTCTACTACCGTCACCAACATCTAGTTGTAGGATTGTTAGCACATTTTATCACCCCATAAACTTCATACCTGTTCCCCATGCTTCTCCTTTCCCAACTCTTGGCAACTACTAATCAACTTTCTATCTCTATAAGTTCGCCTATTTTGGACATTTCATATAAATGGCATCATTCAACATGTTGTCTTTTGTGACTGGTTTCTTTCACTGTTTTCAAGGTTCATCTACATTGTACTGTGTATTGGTATTTTATTTCTAAATAATATTCCATTATTTATTTATTCATCAGTTGCAAGACAAGCATTTCCATTGATTGGCTATTATTAATGATGCTGCTATGAACATGTGTTCTCATTTCTCTTGGGTATATATCTAGGAGGTAGAATTGCTGGGCCATATGTAACACTATTTTTGGAAGAGGCTTCACCATGTAAACTTCCAATGTGTGCAGGTCCCAAGTCCTCTACATTTTTGCCAGAACTTGTTCTCTCTCTTTCTTATCATAGCCATTCTAATGTGTGTAAAGTGGTATATCATTGAGGTATGAGTTGCATTTCCCTCATGGCTAATGATTTTAAATATCTTTTCATGTACTTATTGACTATGGGTGTATTTTTTTTTGAGAAACATCATAGACAAGACATTTCCCCATTTTATTTCAGTTATTTATCTTATTATTAAGTTGTAAGAGTTCTTTATATAATTTAGACACATGTCCCTTATCAGGTTTGTGATTTGAAAATATTTTCTCCCATTCTATGATTTGTCTCTTCATTTTCTTGATTGGTATCCTTTGAAGCACAAAAATTTTTAATGTTGATAAAGCCTAATTTATCCATTTTTCTTTTGTCACTTGTGCTTTTATTCGAATATCTAAGAAGGCGTTGTTTAACCCAAGGTCACCAAGATTTACTCCCATATTTTCTTCTAAGCCTTTTATAAATTTAGCTCTCACATTTAAGTTGTAAGCTCCACTTTCAGTTAATTTGTGTTTATAGGGTGAGGAAAGCATTCAGTATCATTCGCTGGCGTGTGCATATCTAGTTGTCTCACCACCATTTGTTGAAGAAACTATCCCTTTTTTCCTATTGGATTTTCTTGGCACTCTTGTCAAAATTGCTGCCTGTTTGTTATATAATGTTGTCTGTGGCTGCTTTTGCACTAAAACAGAAGAGTGGAATAGTTGAGAAAGAGACCATATGTCCCAGAAAGCTTAAAATACTTACTGTCTGGCCCATTACAGGGAGAAGAACAAGTCAGATTACATCATCCGATGCTTTTCTGGGGCCATTTATATTTCAGAGGAAGTTCTACAATGAGAAGAAACAAAGCATTTAATCCCTTTGTGAAATTTCCAGGAAGATCAGGCTTCCCACCCCAAATGATGTGCCATAGACATGACCAATTTTGAGAGACTTATTTGTCTGTAGACATGTGTTTCTCTATGTTTGGGGCATGCTGAAAATGGGAAGGACTTTCAATACATCAACACTACTTTTTCTCCCCAATAGACTTATTATAATTGCGGCTATCTCCCATTTTCAGGAAAGTGAACAAATGCTTAAAATGTTAAAAGGGCTTCTCTTAAATCTTTTTCTCCACAAATAGTACTTATGGAAATATTTGAAATTTTTTCACATCCGTGAAAATATTTCTAACATTCTCTCTGTGATGGTAGCAAGTTTTTTGGACAGGACCCTACACTAATAATATGTGAAATTAATTTAAAAAAACACACACAGCACTGTATGTCTCCTTTACCAATTTGCTTTAATTCCAAGACCAATACCTAGAAAGGTAACATTTATTCTCTTTTTCTTTATACTCAGGGTGTAAAGGAGTTAGCAAAGCAGGTGAAGAGTTTGCCAGTGGTCAATTACAATCTCCTCAAGTATATTTGCAGGTAAGAATTGTCCTAAACAAAACCAGACTATATTTAGTCTGACACTAACTTATGTTTGACAGTGAATAAAATCATTTTACTGCTTTGAGCTCGCATGTTGGCCTTGTAAAAGTAAGAGGCTTGACAAAGTGATTTCAAAGATTGCATGATTCTGTAATTTGTCATTTCTGAAGTCTCTCTTAGCTTCACATATTAAAGCTATGTTGCTCTGAACTTCAGTCAAAGTAGTTTGTACAGGTACCTTGTACTATTGTTTATGAGACGGAACATGCTCCTTGGCATGACAAGGGTTTGCATGGGAGGCCAGACTCTACCACTGACTACTTACTTATCTTTATGCAATTTCTTACTCTCTTTGAATCTAAGAGTCCTAATCGGTAAAATGGTAGCAACAACACACATCTCACACATTTGTTTTAAAAATTAAATTATATTTTTAACTAATTAATGTATATGTAATAAGTGCTCACTGCATTTTATTTTCTTTCAATTCCTCTCCCACCTCAGACTCATTGAAAAGACATTTGTAATTCAACTCTGTTAGAAAAATAGTTGTGCCTGGAAAAACGCTCTCTCAGTGACCATATTTAACTTAGAGCCTGGGATGGGAGGCTCCATGTCTGTGCTCCTTTTTTAAAAAAGCCAAACATAAAATCAAAACCTATTAAATTTAAATAAAGAAATTGATGATTGACACGACTGCAGAGTATCTGAAATGACCGCTACTGTACTGGATAATAAAAATATTAAATTCTCTTTAAGTAAACAGGGAAAAAGGCTTTGAGAACCCTATTGCAAATCTTTATAGTCACAATGGAAAAACTTAACTTCTCTTGAAACATATAAGCAGACTTTTAATGTCAACTATTTCAAATAAGAAATGGTAGTTTCGTTTTTTGTCCTTCCGTTTTATTATAGTTAGTCTGTATATAGTTAGTCTGTATAACAGGCGGAAATAGGCACCTTTTTGAAAAGTCCTGGTGTAGTAATGAAGAGCACAAACTCTAGAGTCAGAACACCGGGGTTCAAAGCTCAGCTCTCCCACTTACTAACCCCGTGTCCTTGGGAGAGACTTTTAACCTCTGGTGCTTCGTGTGTCTCACCTGTAAAATGGAGACAAAGATAGTACTTACCTCACAGGGATGCTGTGAGAATTTAACAAGTTAGCACAATGACTGACACATAATAACATGTATTAAATAACATAAAATAAGTTAGCTTTTATTTTTCATCATTTCCTTTTTTGTCTTATCGGTTGCAAAACAGAAGTTCTTGCCAGAATGAAGAAGGGAGAGGGAATGAAAAAAGGCTGGAAGACTACAAAAACAACCCTCCCCACTAAATTCATCCAGGGAAAGGCTGATTTCATGCCTCTTGTTCTTTAGCACCTAATAAATTGAAACAATTTCTGCTTGTAATTTTCATGTCAGTAGAAATGAGGTTTTAATTTTAACAATGTTTGGTCTCATTTTTAACAGACTATAAATGGAAAGCTCACAAATTACTCCACAAAGAGGGGTGATTCTTCCCTTCTGAAATAAGGGATTGTACCAGATGATCTTATTTATAATTCTCAAATTGAATACACATAATTAATACTTTATTGAGGCTTTGGAAGGGAACTCATATTCTTCAATCTAAGTCCATATTAGTATTATCCAAACACTTGTTTCTGTAACTGACAGAGGAAACCAAGTCAAGCCAGGCCAGGGGTGATATCTGATATGATTCCTCAAGTCTGATTCTTAATAATTTGCAACATATTTTCTCCACATTTGATTAAGAGATGTTTGAATTCCTAAATAATTTTACCTACATAATCATCGCTTAACATTCTCGAGTTTATAAATATTTTATAACTAGAAGCCCGGTGCATGAAATTACTGCACTCTGGGGGGGGTCCCTCAGCCTGGCCTGCGCCCTCTTGCAGTCCAGGAGCCCTTGGGGGATGTCCAACTGCTGCGGAAGCAAGAGATGCTCCCGCCATTGCCACTGCGCTCGTCAATCGTGAGCCCAGCTTCTGGCTGAGTGGCGCTCCCCCTGTGGGAGCACACTGACCACCAGGAGGCAGCTCCTGCAGTAAGCATCTGCCCCATGGTAGTCAGTGCACATTATAGCAATCGGTCGTTCCACCATTCAGTCGATTTGTATATTAGCCTTTTATTATATAGGATGACTCATTTTATTCCATTGGCAAATTTAACCTCGTGTTTTCTTCACATTCTTACACCCAACAGATTCTTGGATGAAGTACAATCCTATTCAGGAGTTAACAAAATGAGTGCACAGAACTTGGCCACTGTCTTTGGCCCTAATATCCTGCGCCCCAAAATGGAAGATCCTTTGACTATCATGGAGGGTAAGTAAATGATTATCTTATACCATCATAAAAAAAAAAAATCACTGTCTCTTGATTGGCCTGAACTTACTGAGCAAATGAGGGAAATAAGTAAATCCATAATAATTCCACTTATTTTCTCAGGTTTTTTAAGTGAAAAAATCTTCTCTTTGGGAATCAGGGTTTTGTCTAAGTTTACTAAACATAATAATTGACTAACTGATTCCTCAGTAACCTTACAAGAATGAATGGAACTTCTATAAGTCATCTGTAAAATATTAGGCAAGAACTAGAAAATTCAAGTTCACTTTTGAGTCCAAGGCAATTTTCAGAAAATTCAAGTTACTATTTTAAGGTAATATGTTTTTATTAATTTTGGTTTATTTAACTGATTTTAAGAGGTAGAAAAATATGATCCTCTGTAAGACAATGTTACTTATTTACGTGTGGGGGTGTATATATATATATATATATATATATATATATATATATATATATATTGATTTCAGAGAGGAAGGAAGAGGGAGAGAGAGATAGAAACATCAACAATGAGAGAAAATCATTGATTGGCTGCCTCCTGCATGCCAGGAATTGAACCACAACTCCTGGTGCATAGGTCAACGCTCAACCACTGAGCCACGCTGGCCTGGCATACCCTTTACTATTCTTTTATTTGATATTTATATTTAAGTCTCTTATAATATACAGCATCCCTATAATTTGTTGAAAAATTAGGTTATCTGAACTGTATAGTTTCCCATAGTCTTAATTTTGTTGATTGCATATTCATAATGCAGTTTAGCATAGTCCTCTGCCCTCTATTTTCTATAAATTAGAACCTGGATCAAAGCCATGTCTGATAGTATTAGCAAGGCTATAGATTTTGTTATATAACATCTGGTTATCTTTATTTTGTGTGATCTTAGTGCAATCCTTAAAACTATTAATTCACTGGATGTTGAAACGGTGATATCATAATTCTATAATTGTTTTCCAATTTTACAAATTATGATAAAATATCCATAACATAAAATTTGCCACCATTTTTAGGTGTACAATTCAGTAGTATTGTGTACATGTATATTGTCATGCAACGGTTACTACCATCCACCTCGACAACTCTTTTCATCTTGCAAAATTGGAACTCTGTATCCATTAAATATAATGCCTCAACTCCTGGCAACCCCATTTTACTTTCTGTTTCCATGAATTTTATTACTGTAGATACCGCATGTAAGTGGGTTCACAGAGTATTTGTCTTTTGGTGACTGGCTTATTTTAGTCAGCCTAATGTCTTCAATGTTCATCCATGTTGTAGCATCATAATATTTTAACTTAATAATTGGGACACTTTTATTATAAATAAATAATAAATAAGTAAAATCTCTTCTCCTCATCTACTACTTAGTAACCCAGTAGTAGCTTTCATAAATAAAAGACAGGATAAATGCTGCTTGGTCTTTCCCTTTATTAGGTTTTAAATAAGGAAATAGATTGTTTTTTAACTGAATTTATTAACAAAAACCATATAGGTTTCAAGTGTGCAAGTCAACAAAACATCATCTGCACACTGCATCATGTGCCCATTGTCCAAAGTAAAGTCTCTTTCCATCCCCATTTATCCTGCTTTGCCCTCTTCTACCCTCCAACCCCCTTTCCCTCTGGTAATCACCATACTGTTGCCTGTGTCTATGTGTGTGTGTGTGTGTGTGTGTGTGTGTGTGTGTGTGTGTGTATATGTATGTATATATATTTATTTTTTGCTTAATCCCTTTACCTTTTTTTCACCCAGGCCCCCTACTCCTGCCTCCCTGACAGCTGTCAGTCTGTTCTATGTGTCTATGCTTCTGTTTCTATTTTGATTGTTGAATTATTTCGTTCATTAGATTCCACATGTAAGTGAAGTCACATGGTATTTGTCTTTCTTTGACTGGCTTATTTCCCTTAGCATAATACTCTCCAGGTCCATCAAGCTGTGGCTTCTTTAACATTCTCTAACAGTGAGTTCTCCTACTCATCCTTCTTATTCTTCTTCCTATTATAAATGTTATTATTAACACTATTTGTAAAATATAATTATGAACTCATGTATTTAAATCTATTTCATGAGTCAATGCATTGTAATTATTGTTCTTTGTAATTATTGTTTTCCATCTTTGGCCAGTGGAAGCACCTTCAACTAGTCTTCCAGTCCTTTTGACAAGACCTGAATAGTTTTTCATAGCTTCCTTTCTTTTTAGTATTTCAGATTTCCCAGACTCATATGTTTCCTGCCCCAAACCTGAATCAACCAATTTCTAAAGAGTCCAATTTTCAATAAAATTTTTTTAGTGGGAAATGATACTTCAAGACCGAAATACAGGTCATGCTCATTGCTACTGGTTTGGTCATTTCTAGACCTTTCAGTGGACAGAGCAAGTAGATATAAATGCTACTTACAGACATACTTAGTACACATACAATATACATACATACACATGTTAAAGACAAACTGCCTCCCAAGTTCACACTATACTTCCAATTCAAAATCATGTCTATAGCATTTTAATTTATTCTTTTCCCTGATATAGTTTCATCTCCTTCCAAATATGAATCTTGGTTCTGAAAGACATTGGAAATTACAAAATTCAATAATCATTTGCTCCACCTCTTATCAAATACATAATAGTCTCAGAATAACAATAGTAATACTATTAACACCAGTATGATTATTGCAAACATTTAAAAACTTTTTATATATGATCTTCTAATTCTCCTTTTATTTTTTTTACTAGAGGCCCAGTGCACAAAATTAGTGCACAGGTAGGGTCCCTAGGCCTGGCCAGCGATCAAGGCCAATCAGGGCCTTCTGGCTGCTGGCCAGGGCCTTCCTTCCCCGGCTGCCACCGGGGCCTTTCTTTGTTCTGTGTCACCCCCTGCTGGTCAGCACACATCATAGTGAGTGATCGAACTCCCAGTCTCCTGGTCGAAATCCCGAGGGGGCAATTTGCATATTAGGCTTTTATATATGTAGATATTTATACTATATCTACATATACACATTAGATACTATACTCTCTTTCTTTTAGTTCTTATCCAGTCTTAGTTCTATAGGTAACTATGCATTTAATGGTCCTTACATTATTGTCTCTCTAACCTTGTAGTTCTCAAAATGTGGTCCAAGAATACCTGGGGGTCCCTAAGATACCTTCTGGAGGTCTCCAAGTTCATATCTTCATAAAAATACTAAGATGTTATACCAAGGTGTTTTTTGTCCTTTCCCTATGTTGACATTTGCATTGATGGTGCAAAAGCAATGATGTAAAAAAATAACTACCTTAGTGTGAATCAAGCTAGTGGTACCAAACTCCACTAGCATCATTACATTACTTTTCTCACTGCCATACACTGGCAACAGGAAAAAATACAAATTTTACTTAAGAATATTCTTGTTGGAAACGACAAGTGCTGGAGAGGATGTGGAGAAAAAGGAACACTTGTGCACTGCTGGTGGGAATGCAGACTGGTGCAGCCACTATGGAAGACAGTATGGAGTTTCCTTAAAAAACTGAAAATGGAACTCCCATTTGACCCTGTGATCCCACTTCTAGGAATATATCCCAAGAAACCAGAAACACCAATCAGAAAGGATATATGCACCCCTATGTTCATAGCAGCACAATTCACCATAGCTAAGATCTGGAAACAGCCTAAGTGCCCATCAGTAGATGAATGGATTAGAAAACTGTGGTACATCTACACGATGGAATACTATGCTGCTCTAAAAAGGAAGGAACTCTTACCATTTGCAACGTCATGGATGGAACTGGAGAGCATTATGCTAAGTGAAATAAGCCAGTCAATGAAGGAAAAATACCACATGATCTCACTCATTCATGGATAATAGAGACCATTATAAACTTTTGAACAATAATAGATACAGAGGCAGAGCTGCCTCAAACAGATTGTCAAACTGCAGTGGGAAGGCCGGGGAGGGTTGGGGGGCAGGAGGTAGGGGGGTAAGAGATCAACTAAAGGACTTGTATGCATGCATATAAGCATAATCAATGGACATAAGACACTGGGGGATAGGGGAGGCTAGGGGACTGTCTAGGGCGGGGGGATAAAATGGACACATATGTAATACCCTTTGTAATACTTTAAGCAATAAATTTTAAAAAAAAGTATATTCTTGTTGGACAGTAGAACATATTAACTGTACTCAATTACCCCCCTTGAGAACAATCTGGTGGAGAGATGAGCTCTATGTGTAAAGCACTTCTTCCACATACTGTTTTTAAGGTAATACAATAATCGGTTCAAGGAAATGCCTTTGTGTGATTAGTTGAGTTGAGAGCTACACTAATTGTTTTTCCATGGTACTTCATGTTTACTTGAGAGAACAATGGACAAACTATAGTCATGCAGACTTGAGCTTTTGGCAGACAGGTTCTAAAAAATGAACTAAGTTAATCTTTTTACTTTAAGAAAATGTCTGACAGAATATGTTGTCATTGATGAAATTTAAAGAATTAAAAAACTTTTATCTAACACCTTAAGCTTGACAGCTTCTTAATATTTAGCTATTCTTCTGGTGAGATTGTGTTGATAGTGACACAATTAAATGTCTTTGATACTCAAAATTAAAGGTACCAACATCTGGAGGATCTGCATAACTCAGTGAATTTTTCAAATGTATGTTGTCATAAGCCAGGCATGTGTAAATGATCTGGTCAGCGTGCATGTTAGGTTCGCTCATTTCACAGAGCCAAATCTTCTGTTTTTCACAGAGTATTACAATATGGCAGCTTGCTTTCTAAGATGTACTGGTTTAGTTCCAACCCTTGGTTTTACTTAGCCTTCCCTTTCTTCTATCTTTATTGTCCTAGTCCTCCCTGCTTGATTTTGATTCCAGTCGCAAGAATTTCCCCCCAAGTGGAGTTTGGAAGGAGCTCTGGCCGGCCAGTGGTGAGAGTTCACAGGTGCTAGATGGCTCTCACTTCCCCAGGCTTGTGAGAGATTGTCTCTATGGGATTAGGCACACTCCCTCCCAGTTTCACCTGCTCTTCTTAAATTAGCCCTTTGCTTTTTGCAGCAAATACCTATACTTCGGGGCTTTTCTGTTCTCTTGCCCATTATTTCTTCCTCCCGCTTCCTCTCACACAGATGCCAACACCATGCATGTCTGTGACAACAGGAACTTGTCTGCAGCAATTTCTTTTATGGCGTTTGGGAGGATATCTTGCCACCAAGTTTTATTGTGAACGTTGTCCACGAGTTGGGATTTGCTAACTAGTTGCTCGGTTTTTATGTGGAGATTTTGGGAGATTCAATACTATGCTGACACCATCTTCCCAGAAGTCAGTGAACTTTTTTGTCTTTTTGCTTAAACTCTTATTGTTGCTGTTTTAGAAGACGTCCTATAAAAATTGCGTGGTCCACCTTCCCCCTCCCCCTGCCAGTATTGACAACAAAGGAGAGCAAAGCTGCTCCAGAGAGAAGCAGAACCATGAGCTCTGAGTCTCCTAGGGCACCAAAGAACCCCATTTCAACAGGAGTCCTGGGTCTCTTTTTGCCCCTAAGAAACCTAATACCCAATGAGAAAAGTAATTTTCTCTAAATGCAGTAATAATATGTGCAAGGGAAAGGTGCATAAGTGGACAAGTAGGTTTTTAAAATAGTAGGGGGAAAATGGAGCAGCAAAGTAATCTCACCTGTTGCTTTAATATGCTCTGGTCATGAAAAGTCTTAATTGGGAGCTACAGCCATGGAGTCGAACACCACTCAGCAATAAAAAGAATGAACTACCAATACGTGCAACAACAAATGTCGGAATTATTATGCTAAGTGAATAATGCCTGCGCACGAAAGACCTCATACTGTATAATCTCATTTACATGAAATTCTAGAAATAGAAAAACTTAGTAACAAAAAGCAGATCAGTGGTTGCCATAGTGGAAGTTGGGAGTAAGACATTGGCTACAAAGGGGCACAAGGGAATTTTCTATATTATGATAATGTGGTGGTTCTTGGACTATTTGTCAAAAATCACTATGTATTTTACAGATACCTGCACACATGCAAAATGACATGTATGGGGGTATTCTTTGCAAAACTAAATAAATTGAAACTACATTTAATAGAATAATGCCAAAGATATGTATATATAATATGCATTATATATACTAAATACATACTATATACTAAATATATACTATATATGTGTACATAAGTTTCCTTAAAATTTCAAGGCAACTTTAAAGGAAAATTGAATCCAATGCTTATGAAGGAAAAATTCCTAAAATAGTATTTCTGTTCAAACTGTATAAAATGATATGAGCGGGGAATTGCTGGATAGTGCAGCACAGTGAGGCTCCTGAGTCTGCCTGGACTCTTCAGAATGGTGATTATAAGCACCCTGACCTCATTTGGGTTTCATGTTTCTCATTAGCATTCTAAGGAAGAGAATGACAGAAAGGAGGAAATATAAAGGGAAGGAAGTGGTACACTTCATCATAACCACCAAGCTAGTCTGTCTTAAATAGCTATAAGATATGGGGAGTGGGGAGTCCCTTTACAAGAAACTATTTCCATTTATTATCCCGGAGACAAGATAAAGCAAAGCCTCCCCAAGTAGAAGGGATTTCTAAATCTCCAGGACGCTGACACTCACTCTACAATTGTGGCAGGTACACTTTGGCATTGCTGTCCACAGACTCACTATGGAGACCTAGGGGATGTCACTTTACAATTAAATGCCCCACAGAGTTCACAGCTTTGACGGGAAGCAGGGATGCCTGAAATATTAATATTCCAGTGACAGGAAAAAGCTAAATTTTCCCAAAGCACTAGGCAGAGTCTATAGACCAGAGCCTGCTAACATTGTAAAGTGTGCCTGTCTTAAGGGCAAATAGTAAACTAGAACTAAGTAGACGTGTCTTCAAACACAGTACCTGACAGTGATAATGTTGACAGCCATTTTAGCGCTCCCAATGTCTTTTCATCAGAGTCACTGCTGCATGCATGGAAGTAGGATGACAAATTCAGATATGACTAAGAAGAAAGATGGCTTTTTTCTTCCATGACTCTGTAACAACTGATGGTGCTTTAATAATTATCTTATATTTTGTTTATTTAGAAAAACATCAAGTTTACTTATCGTTACTGCAGTTTAAATGCAACAGCTGAAATATAGTAGAACAAGAACTATCTGGAGTAAGAAGATGAAGCATCAAAGTTCATCTAGGTCACTTACTATCCATATGGCCCTGAGCAAAAGCTTAACCTCTCTGAGCTCCAGTTTTCTCATGTGAAAAATGTTAAGTCCTGTCTCACCATCTTTTGAGAAACTTAATTTAAATGCTGTAAGTGAAACATTTTCATGTAGCCCAGTGTTTCTCAAACTCTAACACAGAAATCATCTGGAGCTATTGTCAAAATGCAAATTCTGCTTCAGAAGGCCCTCAGTGGGTCCTGAAACTGCGAAGCTTCCAGGTGAGGCCCTTGCTCCTATGCTGTTATTGCTGTGTCCTCTGGGAGCTGGTTAGCAATGTAAAATCGTATGCCCCACCGAATACCTACACTTTGACAGAATCTCCAAATAATTTGCATAAATATTAGTGTTTGAGCAACATTGATCCAGCACCAGATCTGACACATGGCAGATTCTTGTTTTAAATATAAGTTTTGAATCATCACAGAAGAAATGTGCAGAATAGAAAGAGATATAACACATTTTTCCTGTGCAAAATTTGATTTGAATTGTACTCAGAGTCAACTCTTGCCTAGGTGCTGCTTTAAGCTAAAGAGTGGCCTCCTCCCAGGTCAGATATGTACAGTCTGGCAGCCACTCAATTAGCAGCTGTTTCTGTGGAAATCTGCATTGTCTAAAGTCCTTCTCATCATTTTCCTCACCAGATCTCATGTTTTATTTTATGTAGAAACCACATTTACTAACTAAAATTTAAATTCATTCCTTGCCCTAGCCGGTTTGGCTCAGTGGATGGAGTGTCGGCCTGTGGACTGGAAGGTCCCAGGTTTGATTCTGGTCAAGGGCATGTACCTTGGTTGTGGGCACATCCCCAGTGGGGGGGGTGCAAGAAGCAGCTGATCGATGTTTCTCTCTCATTGATGTTTCTAACTCTCTATCCCTCTTCCTTCCTCTCTGTAAAAAATCAATGAAATATATTTAAATAAATAAATAAATAAATAAATAAATAAATAAATAAATAAATTCCCTATATGTACTTATCAGACATTACTCTTACAAACTTTCATCAACATGATATAAACCGAGTTAACACATCAAATTGATACAGTTCAAACCAAAGCAAAGATGACTGATGTCTGCAGTAGCCTAAACTGCTTTATTGTGGGTACATGAATAACATTAATACTTAAGAAGATTCTTAGGGAAATTATGGCCCCCAAGTAAGGAAACTACTTTAGAAGCCTGGTTTATGGTGACAGCCAGTTTTAAGGGATTGGAGTCCAGATTGTAAATCAGTGAGAAATATGTAAAAATCTATTTGGAATTTCAGCCAATACTAGTATACCATTAACTGGTAAACCCATTAATTTTTAAATAAATTACTGCTTTTGATAATAGATCAATTTTTCTATTCATTTTTTTGAGTTATTTTACTTGCTGTAACAAAAGTTTAAGTGCTTGGTAGAGTTCATGGTGTATGCTCAAGAAATTTTAGTTTCTGTTTGCCATTATCATCATTAAGAATATAGTTCAGCACTGCTGATAATAATGTTGAATGTTCACCTGAATGTGGTCCTTTAAGGATCACTTTCAAAATGGGAAATAAATGAAAACTATTTCACTCATGTGACTTTGTTTTCTCTGCAATTCTAGGCACTGTGGTGGTCCAGCAATTGATGTCAGTGATGATTAGCAAACACGATCGCCTTTTCCCCAAAGACTCAGAACTGCAAAGCAAGCCCCAAGACGGAATGAGCAACAACAACAATGAAGTTCAGAAGAAAGCCTGCGTGGGTCAGCTACAGAACAAAGAGAACAACAATACCAAGGACAGTCCTGTTCGGCAGTGCTCTTGGGAGAAGTCCGAATCTCCCCAGAGAAGCAGCGTAGATAATGGCTCCCCCACAGCCCTGTCAGGCAGCAAAACCAACAGCCCACGGAACAGTGTTCACAAGCCGGATGTCTCTAGGAGCCCCCCTCTTCTGGTCAAAAAGAACCCCGCCTTCAATAAGGGCAGCGGGATTGTCACCAACGGGTCCTTCAGCAGCAGCAATGCAGAAGGTCTTGAGAAAACCCAAACCACCCCCAATGGGAGCTTACAGGCCAGAAGGACCTCATCACTGAAGAGCTCTGGCACCAAAATGGGCACCCACAGTGTACAGAACGGAACAGTGCGCATGGGCGTTTTAAACACCGACTCGCTCGGGAACCCCATGAACAGCCGCGGCATGTCCTGGCTGCCCAATGGCTACGTGACCCTGAGAGATAACAAGCAGAAAGAGCAAACAGGAGAGTCAGGCCAGCACAACAGGCTCTCCACCTATGACAACGTCCATCAGCAGTTCTCCATGATGAACTTTGATGACAAACAGAGCGTTGACAGTGCCACCTGGTCCACGTCCTCCTGTGAAATCTCCCTCCCTGAGAACTCCAACTCCTGCCGCTCCTCCACCACCACCTGTCCGGAACAAGACTTTTATGGTGGGAACTTTGAGGACCCTGTTCTGGATGGGCCCCCGCAGGACGATCTTTCCCACCCTGGGGACTATGAAAACAAAAGTGACCGGAGGAGTGTGGGAGGTCGAAGTAGTCGTGCCACCAGCAGCAGCGACAACAGCGAGACGTTTGTGGGCAACGCCAGCAGCAACCACAGTGCACTGCACAGTTTAGTGTCCAGCCTGAAGCAGGAAATGACCAAGCAGAAGCTAGAGTATGAGTCCAAGATAAAGAGGTGAGGAGAATCTGGAGCTCATAACTGCCAGAGAGCCTCCTACTGGTCACACTCACACAGGGGGTTAAATATGTTCGTTCCAGAGCCAGAGCCCCCTGTTCAAGTCCTGGCTTCACCATTTGTAAACTGGAGGCTTCGGGGAAGTTAACGTTACCTCTCGTGAGCCTGGGTTTCTTCACGTGAAAAGTTTAAATGCTAGTAGTGTTTCCCTCGAAAGCATGTAAGAAGCCATTGAGCCTTGCTCCTGCACAGCAGAGGTGCCCAATAATGCTGTGAGGGTCTGTGCTAGAGGCTGGTTAGAGAGGAGCTGAGAGGGGAATGAATGGAGGGTAAGGAGCCTGTTTTCACTGACCAGAAAAGGATGGAATGGGGGTAAAGTTGTAAAAATCACCAGACCTTTTTTATTATTCTTTTGATTGGTGAAAGCTCAGAGAGTGTCTGCTATCCGCCAAGCTCAATTTCAGGCCCTGCGAATTTAGCAGTCAATAAAACAGACTAGTATATAAACTCAGTCCTCATGGAACATGCCTCCGTTGTACGAGAGAAGACAGATAAATAAGTAAAATAGGTCCCTATGCTAAGTAAAACTGGGAAGAGGGGGAAGAGTATTTTTAAGTGCAATTTTAAGTGCAGGGCCTTATGGCAGGTTAAAGGGGAAGCTGTGCAGACACCTAGGAGAGGAGCAGGTGGAAATGCTGTGAGATGGGCTGGGCAAGGAGCTCATCGAGGGAACAGGGAACAGGTGATAGGAGCTTGGGGGTCAGATTAAGTCTTTAGCTTTTACTCTGAGATTAGAATCCATGAAGGTTTTTGAGAAAGGTGTTGACATGAAGTATATTCATATAAACAAGGAAAATTATAGCCTAAATGGAAAGCAAAAACTATGATTTATAAGGAAACAGCTATGCTAAACCCCGATTTATATCCTTTCACATCTTCTCATCAGATAGCCAAGGCAGGAAGAAGTTTGCTTAGCAACTTCTCCAGGAACGCAACCCAGGCAAGATAAAGGGGCATTGTCTGAGGGTCCTGAGTTCACAGGGCCCTGACTGTCAGATAAGCCATGGAGAATGGAGCCCAGGGCTCACAGATATAATCTCGTCCTGAAAGTCACCACATTCACACGTCACTGAGGTCACGGAAATGGCAAAACTGTTTTTTTTTTGTTTGTTTGCATGTGTGGTTTTTTTGGTTGTTGTTTTTGTTTTGCTTTTAGAGAGAGGAAGGGAGAGTGGGAGGGAGAGAAACATCAATGAGAGAGAAACATCCTCCTGCACACCCTCTACTGGGGATCCAACCCGTAACTCGGGCATGTGCCCTGATAGGGAATTGAACCGGTGACCTGGTGCTTGGGACCATGCTCAACCACTGAGCACACCGGCCAGGCAAAACTGATTGTTTTTATGTTCTCCTTTCAGCATTGTATAGGGCAAAGGACACTGAGCTCCCGTCAGGAGAAGGCCTGAGGCTCGGTTCAGTGTGAGGGAGCCCCTCTAGTGGTCTCACTCCCAGGCTCAGGCTGTGTGTTGGGCGGACCTCTCCCCTTGTGGGGGCTCTAAGACCCTTATCATTTGTGCACATCAGTCTTTGTCCTGCTTCAACTGCTTCCATGTCTCCACACCCCACAGGGTTTCTTTTACATATATAAACGACTTTATTTTACCATTTCCCATCCATTTATCAATCATCAGGCCCAAAGGTACTTATTTTCAAGAGCTGTGGTGGAGTAAATATAGAATAAAATGCTATTTATATGTTAGGTTGAAAAATTACTTTCAAAAGTTGTTTTTGTAAACTTCGCTGAATGGAAAGTTGATTTGAATTTCTCTCCGGAATGCCGAGTGACGGGAAGTTTAAATAAGAAGAAAAAGGCAGCAACATCTTTCAGGTTACTCCTCTTTCTAACTGTGATGTTTAGAAGCACTGGCTACCAGAACTCTGAACTGCTGCCGGTGCGTGGTGATAAATGAGCACTTAGCACTGGGAAAGGAGATAACAGCTGAAGCTTGCATTCATCCTAATGCAAGTTTCAACTGTTATCTCCATCCTGGAAATAAGTTATCATTGTGAATGGCTGCAGATGAACATATTCCTTTTTGACGACATTGGTGATACATTCATGTTCTGAGTCTATGGTGCATTTCAGAGACTTTGATAAAATAATAGAACTTTTCAATAGAGTGCCATCTCACTGGGCCCTCTCACTGTAGCATTCCTACCACCTGACAGGCAAGGGAGGGGCTCACAAAGAGGTAGGGCAGAGGAGCTGCCACATGCCCAAACCACAGAAATTCCTGCTTAGACTTACACATTTCGCTTTCAAATTTTTTTAGCTCCACCCACAAATATTGAGGTTAGATAGATGATTCATATGTATGTACATACTACATACCTGAATAGCTCAACAGATGATAGATAAGATAGCTGGATCATACTTTATCAATTATTGATATGTTTTTTAGTTTTTAAACATGTGAGTTTAGTATTCTCCACCCCCACCCCCCATTTCCTTTATTGTATTATAGTCAGAGAAATTTATTTTTATGATATCAATTATTTGGTCTTGTAAAAATGATTGTTTTATGATTGGTTTGGGATTTTATATATGACCATAGAGCAAGCCTGTTAATCAAGCTGCTTAAATATTTTACATTTTTCCTCATTTTTATCAGATAGATCTATAACTTCTAACAAAGGTAACTTAAACTCTCCTAATTTTTACGGATTTATCAATGTCTCCTTATAACTCTGTTACATCTTATATTGACTTATTTGAGGCTACACTGCTAGGTGAATAAAAGTTCAGAATTGTTTATATATTTCTGATGAATTGATATCATTGAGTAATGGTCATCTTTAGTTGTAATAATGTATTTTTCCTACAAGTTTATTTTTTCTGATATTAGCATTGCTATACCATTTTTTATTTTGATTAGTAACTTTCTGCTATTTTTACCATTAACTTTCAAATTTTATTTGGTCTGAGAACATATACTTTTCAATTCTAGAATATTTTTATCTATCATCTTTTTATTTCATCTTCCCCATTTTCTCAACTTTCTGTTTCTACAGCCCTTATTCAAGTATGTTGGGCCTTCTTAATCCATTCTCCATCTCTGTTAACTTCTCTTTCTCACATTAAATTTCTATCTTTCTCTGTGAGGCATTCTGGACAATTTTCCCAGACCTGTTTTCCTGTTTACTGATTTGTTTTTCTTTTTTAAGATCTATTTTTAATTATAGTAGATATACAATATTATATTAGCTTCAGGTGTACAACACAGTGATCCAACATTTATATACTTTACTAAGTGATCACCACAATAAGTCTAGCAACCATCTGTCACAATACATAGTTATTTTAATATTATTAGTGGCCCAGTGCACAAATTCATGCACATTGAAAGGAAATTAATTAGAGGGTGGCTGGTAGGGCGGGACTGTGCCAGACAACCGGACACGCCCTGGAGTCAACCTACCACAGTCCCTTCCCAGGGCCGCGGCTCGAAGGGCAGCTGCGGTCACCCCAGTTTGGCAGTTAACCAGATTTGGGGCCGACAATACCCCAGGAACATAACCTATGGCAGAAGGTGGCAACACGCAGCCCTGCAAGGAATCGGGCTCCCTCCTCTCTAGTTCAGAGGTGCATCACCCGAGAACCGCTGCTGCCAAGTCACTGCAGCTCAGCAGCTTCTGCATTGAGCATCTGCCCCCTGGTGGTCAGTGCACATCATAGGTACCAGATGGTTGGACGGTCACTTAGCCTTTTATATATGTAGAGTAACTCTATTTCCTTTGCTTTACTTCCACCTCTGTAACTTATTTTATAACTGAAAGTTTGTACTTTTAAATCCTCTTCCTCTTTTTCTCCCACTTCCCACCCTCCACTCCTCAGAAAACCATCAGTTTGTTTTCTGTACCTATGAGTTGGCTTCTGTTTCATTTTGTGTTTTTTTTTCAATTGTGTTGTGTTTTTTAAATATATTTTTATTGATTTCAGAGAGGAAGGGCAAGGGAGAGAGAGATAGAAACATCAATGAGATAATCATTGATCAGCTGTCTCCTGCACCCCCTACTGGAGATTGAGCCCACAACCCAGGCATGTGCCCTGACTGGGAATCAAACTGTGACTCCTGGTTCATAGGTTGATGCTCAACCATTGTGCCACACCGACTGGACTTGTTTTTTAGATTCCATAATTAGAATCATATGGCTTATCTTTCTATGGCTTATTTCATTTAACATGACATTCTCTAGGTCCATCCATGTTGTTGCAAATGGCAAGATTTCAATCTTTTTTTATGGCTGAGTCATATTCCATTGTATATATGTACCACTTCAATCTTTTTTTATGGCCGAGTCATATTTCATTGTATATATGTACCAATTCTTTATTAATTCATCTATTGATGGACACCTATATTGCTTCCATATCTTGGCTATTGTAAATAAAGCTGCAGTGAATATAAGGTGTATATATCATTTAAATTATTGGGTTTTTTTCTTAAGATAAATACTCAGAGATTGAATGCTGTATCATACAGTAATTCTGTTTTTAATTTTTTGAGGAATTTCCATACTCTTTACCATAGTGGCTGTACCTAATCCCACCAACAATGCATGAGAGTTCCCTCCTATACACCCTTGCCAACACTTGCTATTTGTTGTCTTTTTGATGGTAGCCTTTTGTAGGTGTGAGGTGATACCTCATTGTGCTTTTGATTTGCATTTCCCTGATGATCAGTGATGTTGAGCATCTTTTCAGGTATTTGTTGGCCACCTATATGTCTTCTTTGGAGAAATGTTTATTTAGGTTCTCTGCCCATTTTTTAATCGGATTATTGCTTTTCTGATGTTGAATTATATGAGTTTTTGGTATATTTTAGATATTCACCACTTGCCAGATGTATCATTTGCAAATATTTCTCCCATTCAGTGGGTTGTCTTTCTTATTAATGTCTTTCTTCACTTTGCAAAACATTTTATGTTTTTTTTTAAATATATTTATTTATTGATTTCAGAGAGGAAGGGAGAGGGAGAGAGAGATAGAAACACCAATGATGAGAGAGAATCATTGATCGGTTGCCTCCTGCACACCCCCTGCTGGGGATCAAGCCCGCAACCCAGTCATGTGCCCTTGGCCGGAGTCGGACCTGGGACCCTTCACTCCGCAGGCTGATGCTCTATCCACTGAGCCAAGCCAGCTAGGGTCTTTTAAGTTTAATGTAGTTACATTTTGCTTTTGTTGCCTTTGCCCAAGGAGACATGTCCAAAAATGTATTCCTTAACACTGATTTTTTTCTTTTGCTGATTTAATTCTGACACTTCACTCATCCCATGAATAGAGTGTGGTCCCTTTTGTATAAAGACAATTAATACTATAAGCTCTCAGCTGAATCTCTCCGTTTTCTTCCTCTCTTATACCAGAGACCTCTTCTCCCCCATGTGAAAAATAAAAACTAGCTCCCGCCTCAGACCTCTATCCAGGATCAATACCCTTTGTGTGCTTCCACTTACTGTTCTAAATTGGAGTATCTTTCTCGGTTATGATACTTGAACACGCTTTTTTTATTTCTTTTAACTTTGCTATGTATTTTTAAAGTTTTTATGTATTTTTCCAGCATCACTCTGTGTCTGTAGTGGGGGGGTTCCCATCTGTATTCCACTCACGCTGTTAGAGTCCTGGAAGTTTCATACTAGTTTCATACGTATAATGCATCAGTATTGTTTAAAGGATTGTTTTCGTTGGTATTTATGCTTGAGTCTCTTTTTAGTATTTTTATTTCTAAAATAAATAGATTTAAAAAGAAAAGAGAATGTATTGTAGACTAATTCTGGGTTGCAAACAGCACACTGCCAGGTTGTCATATAAAAAATGTGATCATATGATCAAAACAGCCTTCTGATTAGAGAATATGAAATATTCTCATACTTTCAAAAGAAGAACAAGTTTATTTTTAAGTGTCATTATTATTATCTGGATGAAATATCAACATATGAGACATGATAAAACAAAAACAATTGAGATTTAAATAATAAACAATTATTATTAAGATAATCAGGTTTCTGAAATTCAAATTTTAGTGGTATGGTAACTTTAAACATATCCCAGGGATATTAGCTCAGAAAAGGATACACAAAAAAGTAAACTATTATTAAGATTCATCATATAATAAACAAGTGCTTAATACTCCTCTTTGAACAACAACAAATTATGTTTTGGAACTTAGTGATTATGGAGAAAACTGTTTTCAAGAAAGTTATCTAAAATCATACAATTATCCAAAACAATACAGCTATCAATCTATAGAAATATAAATCTAGAGATCCTAAGATACATTAACTTGGAAAGCAGTGAGATTAGGGATAGCAGGTTACTTGGGTGGACTCCACTGTCACAAAATGTCAGGTGGATTACTTATTCACCACAAGTTATCTCCACTCTTCTGCATGTACGTTAGCTTTGGTACCACTTTTATAAGATTCCTATGTCTCAGAAAGTTCATTCTTAGCAGTGGACTTTATCTAACAATGATATTTTTACTATCATTTTTTCTCTCATAGAAACCCAATAGGATTGCTCCCCTTTTCTTCCATCTTTACTGGGCTTTCCCCCTTTCTCTTAGTACAGCCCAATTTGCAATAAGGATCCAGGAAGCCTTGTGGTTTGGGCTGCCTTCTGCTTCTGCCGTTCTGTGCTGTGTGACATTTTCTGACTCCTCTGTGCTGACATTTATACATTCACTTTCAAATGACAACTAAGTGCTTCTGAGAGAGGTCTTGGGGTATCTTGTTAACATGATAGCAAATCATCTTAGCAAATACTAAAGCAACAACAAAAACCTTTAAAATCACTGGACCTTCCCTCGCTGATTTAAAAGGGCTCACCCCAATTTCCTAAGCTTTGCAGAGACAGAGTTTAGATAATATTTGTATCCCTGTCCTATTGCATGTGAATAAAATCACTTTATCTTTGATTTTCTCCCCAACCCCTTGTAGCTTAGAGCAGCGAAACTTGACGTTGGAAACCGAAATGATGAACCTCCATGATGAACTGGATCAGGAGAGGAAAAAGTTCACAATGATAGAAATCAAAATGCGGAACGCAGAGCGAGCGAAAGAAGACGCTGAGAAAAGAAATGACATGCTCCAGAAAGAAATGGAGCAGTTTTTCTCCACATTTGGGGAGCTGACGGTGGAACCCAGGAGAACCGAGCGAGGAAACACGATATGGATCCAGTGAGCCGGCTGCCTCCCGCTGTCTCTGGTGGATCTGGGAAGGACTTTGGGGTTCCTGTGGGAGGATTACGTGGGACCAGGTGACAGGTCACCTGGCTGTACAGTGTTCTAACTGGGGAAGGAGTATCATTTACAGACATTACCCATCCATATCTGCAATGTGTACCAAAGTTATATCACGCCCCATATGCTACTGTCAAGTGTTACAACTGGATATGTGTATATAGAGTAGTTTTTTGAAAAGTAAACTAAAAATGAGAAGCATATCTCAAGAATTATTTTATTGCAAGTCTTGTATTTAAAATGTTAATTCAATATGTTGTTGCAATTTAGCTTGCTTTCAAGCTTCACCCCTTGCACTTAACATAAGCTATTTTTGGCATTGTGTTATCATCAGCTTATTTTATAGATCAATATTTTTATTTCCCTTTTTTTGCTGAGGAAATGAAGATAAGCAGATATATAAAAATATATAAGTATATATATAAGATGAGTTATTAAAAGCAAAAGAATACTTTGTGGCTGTGCTGTTTGTGCCAATAGACCTTACCATGACCAAAAAAAGAAATGTAAATCATTCTATGAAATACGGTGGCATCACCAGGAACCTTTGAACTGCTCTGTAAATTCTTCCCTTGACACTGCTCAGTTTGCTTTGTGATGATTTGGCACAGGACATGTTGGATGTGGAAAAAAGTCCCTTTTTCCAGCCCCCTGGTCTGCCTGGTCAGGTCCACAGATGCCTGTCTGCTACGCAGGATGCACCTTAGAGGGGCAAAATGGGAAAGAAAAACATTTAACCAGTCATGCCTTGAGTTACTCTGTCATTCTGGCCTGAGTCTGTAACTGCTGGACGGTTACCTGAGAAATTCTTCCTGCCCTTTGAGAGTTAGGAAAAAGGCTTACACCGCTTGCCCCACCCCTGCAATGCCATTTTCTGAGCACCTGCCTTTCACTCAGACCTCCCCCCCCCTCCCCAGGTAACTGCACTTTGGGGCTTGTCACCCTCAGTGAAACAGTAGTTCTGTGTCCCTCTCAGTTAAACCACTAGAGTGTGTACCACAAAGTGACATTCTCCTCTCAGTTAGGCTCACTGTTCTGTTGTCACCTGGGATTCTCTCTGAAGGACACAGAGGGCAAAGGCATTTTGGAGCGAGAGAGAGGTGATGGAGGGAAAGGGGACCAGAAAGAGGAGGAGACAGAAGAAATGAACTAACAATTTTGCTTCTGATTTTCACAGTATTGTTTTTCCCTGTTGGAAACATAGTAATTCACAGTCATTTTCAAATGAGAATGCTTCAAGGTCCAATTTTGATGAATTTGTGAACATTAGTAATGATAACTTTCTAGAGAATCTCATGTTTCTCAAGAGTGAGAATTTGGAGAGAACAGTTCTTCACACATCAATATGGCAATGCTTTTATGAAGCCAAACAAATATATCTTTCTCAAAGGAAAACAGAAAGTCACCTTTAAAGCATAATTGGAAATAAACACCACTTGAGTTTATGGGATTTGTGTGTTTGAAGGTTCTATGTTTGTGTGTGTTTCTTTTTTTCAAAGGGGAGAGTAGCTGGACAGCATTCATTCTTGTCGCTGTGCTGCTTTTGTTTACAGCCCTTCAAGGATCAAGCTTATGTGGTCCTTTAGTATCAACCACTGTGTACATACAAATGCTGGTCATGGTCAGAGTGTGTGCAGGAGGCAACCAATCAATAGGAGAAACCCATCGATGTTTCTCTCTCTCCCCCCTACCCTCTCCTCCACTCTTTCTTTTAAAAAATCAATGGAAAAAGTATCCTTGGATGAAGATTAAAAAATTAAATACCAGAATTATATCTTAGTGATTTTAAATCTCTCACTCTCCACCCTTTATGTTATAGAGTGCCAGCACAGAGAGTTAGCAACATTTGGAGAGTTAGCAAAAAATTATGAGGGATGCTGTTATTAATTTTAATTCTTGATTTTGATGATGATGACCTCTAATCAATGGATACTGAGTTTCTATTAGTTCTCCTATTAATCAAGCTAAAAGCCTCAAAAATATCAACTACAAATTGAGATAAGAATAAATTGGAAATAAGTACTTAGGTAGTATCAAGAATTCATTTGCTACATCTTATATACACTTCTTTAAAATTATTTAGGTTAGTCCTGGCCAGTGTGGCTCAGTTGGTTGGAGCATTGCCCCATACACCAGGAGGTTGTGGGGTTTGATTCCCGGTCAGGACATATACCCAGGTTGCAGGTTTGATCTGAAGTCAGACACATGCAGACCAAACCTGCAATTTAAAAAATAAATAAAACTATTGAGGCTAACAGCAATAATTCTTCTTTTTTCCTTTTTTAAAATCCTCACCCAAGGATATGCTTTTTCATTGATCCTATAGAGAAAAGAAGGGAGAGAGGGAGAGAGAGGGGGGTGAAAGGAGAGAGAGACAGAGAGAGAGAGAGAGAGAGAGAGAGAGAGAGAGAGAGAGAGAGAGAAAGAGATTAATTGCCTCACACAGACGCCCTGACTGGGGATCAGACCCATGATGCTCTAACCACTTAGCACACTGGTGGCTAGGACAGTTGACTACAATAATTCTCTAATTATGAGCTCAGAATAAAAGATTTGCTTACAAGTGGTGAGTCTATAATGTTGGTCATAGAGAAGCATTGATCAGATGCTCAAACCTCAGAGGGAAGGTAGGGGAGGATGGGGGTAACAGGAGAGATCAACCAAAGGACTTGTATGCATGCATATAAGCCTAACCAATGGACACAGACACCAGGGGGGTGAGGGCATGAACAGAAGTGGAGGGGGATGGGGGATAAGGACACATATGTAAGACCTTAATCAATAAAGAAAAAAAATATTTGGTCTTACTAGTCAAACTATATGGCTGGGAATCCTCTAGAGAACATTTAAAATAGAATTACCTAGGACATCAGAACAACTCAAATGTAGCTTTTATATGTAATTTTATTATGAAATGACTAAAAAACCCAAGTGGAATTTAAATAATGTTATTGCTATTTATTTTTATTTATTCACAAGCTGAGGCCTTCTTTAAAAAAAAATGTGATAATTCCAAGGTAGGATAGTTTAAAGCACTGGCATAACTACCTCACCTTGGAAATCAGGAGAATAAAACTGTGATGCTGCACCCTGCTTAGAGGAGCACCATAGGAAAGAACATGCACAAACTTTTGGATTTGGAGGCCTGATTCAAATCCCAGGTCTGCCACTTTGTAGTTATATGACCTTAAGAAAAGTTACAGGTGTTTGTAAGTCTTAATTTTTTAAATATAATTATATTGATATCAGAGAGAAAGAGAGAGGGAGAGAGAGATAGAAACATTAGTGATGAGAGAGAATCATGGATAGGCTGCCTCCTACACTCCCCACACTGGGGATTGAACCCACAAACCAGGCATGTGCCCCGACAGGGAATCGAACTGTGACCTCCTGGTTCATAGGTCAATGCTCAATCACTGAGCCACACCAGCTAGGCATTAATTTTCTTTTATAAAATAAGAATAATAATAGTATCCCTTCCTCATTGGGTTGTTTTGTTTTGGTTTTGATTTTTTGGTTTTATTGTTTTTAATGAATGAGTGATGTGATTAACACAGTACCTGGCACATAGTAAGTGCTCAATAAATGGTAGCTGTCAACCCTCAAATTACTTCTATGGAAAGGATATTTAAGTTTCTAAAGAACATAAAAGGGCCCTGGCTTCAGGAATTTGGCCAGCAGTGAGAGACAAGCATGCTCACCAGCAGAAGGTATACTCATGTCCTTGTCCCAAGAACTCTAGTTTTACTTTTGTGCAGATAATCTGCCAGAGATTGATGGCAAGGAATAGGGAACCCCAAGCATCTGAGATAATACAATCACATCCATGATGTGTCAATAATGTATAAAGAACTACCTGGAATTATCCTATATCAATTCCGTTTATGTGGACACTGAAGATGATGTTGGGTATTAAAGTCCTGAGTGAAATATAAGTGTCCAAGGATATGTACAAAGAACTACCTGTAATTATAGACCAGTGAACATGTCTAGACTCACATCAGCACCACCATTAGTGAATAGTTATTGAAGGTCTCCATATGCCAAGCCAGCACTAAGCCAGGTGCCCTGGGATACCTAATTTACAATGCTAATCACCACATAAGATGAATGGCTTTGAAAGTAAAAGATGCCCAGCTGACCTGGATCAATGATTGAGCATCAGCCTATAAACCAGGAAGTTACAGTTTGATTCTCAGTCAGGGTACATGCCTTGGTTGTGGCTTAATCCCCAGTATGGGGTGTGCAGGAGGCAGCCGATCCATGATTCTCTCTCATCATTGATGTTTCTCTCTCCCTCTCCCTTCCTCTCTGAAAATATATTTTTAAAAGAAGAAAGTAAGATTACAAAGAGAGGCTGGAAAAGGCCATGCAGAGCCATGGCTATGATGTGAGTCCTGAAGGATGAAAAGGAAGTTATCAGTCAGGGTGGCCATTTGGGATTAGGGCCTCACTTGTGCATGGAACAGCATGAGCGACTGCCTTTGGTGTGCACCCTAGGGAGCCTTTTTAGTGAAATAAAATTTAACCATCAAGTCTGTACCATTGATGTGTCATTGTGCCAACCATTTATCCTTACGTGATGAGACTTAAAAACACTTAGGACCCAGGCGCCTGTACTGTTCTATTCAAAGACAATAGCAAGAGCTGGACACATTTTGCCTTGTTTGAACTCACAAATACAGGAAAGGAGTGCTGGAACTGTGGCTCCTGAAGGTCAATCCTGTGATTCTCTCTTTAGGATCATACGTCTTCTTAACCGTACAAGTGGGCGGGAGGGGGTGGTGGGGTGGGCGGGTGAGTTGAAAGTTTAGGACTTCCCAGCTCAAGGGCCTCCTGCTACAAAGTGACTTAGAAAACCGATAATTCCCCAGGAAGCCAAAATCTGAACGTACCGTAGATCTTGGAGTAGTAAGTTTAACTCATGAACACTGTTTTTGAATGCATCGTTTATGTGTGGCTCAGGTCCAGAGCTAAATGACACTACGTATGTACTGTGTATTTAGCTGCTTCAGCCCGTTGTAGAGAGGGTTACCTTTCTTGAGTAAAGAGTATCAGTAACAGAGAATACTGACTTGCCTGATGGAGCAGTCAAATAGAGACTGTTTGCCTTGAGCGAAGTTGTCTCTCTGCTCTGAGGGAGGCTCTCAGTGTACTGCTTGTTCTTGTGAAAACATCATGTTTATCCCAGCACTTTCTTCTCAACACACACATGCCCTGCCTCCTCATGATTCACTACCTTTGATTATGTACCCCACCATCATGACCTCATCCTTGAGTCCCTATTGCCAAAATAGTCTCAACTCCCATGTCATTTGCCTTCACCTATTCAGTGGTCGGCGGCAAACTGGGCTCGGCAAACCAGGGCTCATGAGCCACATGCGGCTCTTTGGCCCCTTGAGTGTGGCTCTTCCACAAAATACTGGCTCTTCCACAAAATACCAACTTCTGCGCATGGGCAATGAAGTTTCAATCACACTGTACGTGCGCGCCCCCACGGAATATGCTTATCCCCGTATGCTTATCCTCAGCATATTCCCTCATTTGCTTCGAACACTGATCCCCTCACCACTTTATACCTTTCCATTACACCTTCTAGATCTTAGGGCTGTCATCACCATCACCTAAATCTCTGACAGTTACCTCCTGATGGCATCACCCTCCTTGAAGCTCACTCAAGGATGGCTATTTGGCCTTCCCACAACCTGCATATCACTAGCCGGAAGGAGAGGTAGGTCTTTCTTTGCTCTTTGCTTCAGCTTCCAGACTTTTGCTCCTCTCCACTCCCTAATAACCTCTCTGGAAGCACATGCCTCATGACAATATTTTAGCACCTAATCAACTATGCGCCCACCCCCCCCAACTTGACTACTTAGCTTCTTGGCCTGCTCAGCACCTCCACTTCCTTACCCAAGCCCATCCCAGCTTTCTAGACTGTCATACCCTACACTGAACTCCTCATTTCCATTCTTATCTTTCTTCCTAATATCCTCTCTCAGGAGCCAGAGGGATCCATCTAAAAAGAAAATTTAGGCCCTGACCGGTTTGGCTCAGTGGATAGAGCATCGGCCTGCAAACTCAAGGGTCCCAGGTTCGATTCCGGTCAAGGGCATGTGCCTTGGTTGCGGGCACATCCCCAGTGGGGAATGTGCAGGAGGCGGCTGATCGATGTTTCTCTCTCATCGATGTTTCTGACTCTCTGTCCCTCTCCCTTCCTCTCTGTGAAAAATCAATAAAATATATATTTAAATAAAATAAAATAAAATAAAAATAAAATAAAAAGAAAATTTAGATTATGTTATTTTCCTGTGCACATCTATTCAGCATCTTTTGATACTTAGAATAAAATTCCAAGATCTTGACATGCTCTGACCCCTGCCTATCTCTCCAATTTCATTTACTACCACCCTTTCTCTTGTCCTTTCTGCTTCATCCACAAGACCCTTTGCC